CATCCCTGAAAATGTAGTTAAATATTTTTTCATGAATTTTCCATGTCAGTAATTCCGTGGAATTAAAGGAAAAACAACTGTCGATGTATTTTACAACGAGCCTTGTCATTGTGTTGAGTGTAGTATTTTGTATCGAGTCCACTGTCGTGGCTATAAAGTTGATTGTGGATTTTATTGTACGGACTACTTTATAATCTATCAACTTTAGGTATGATTATGTTGACTGTAGTTTGTGTCCACTGTAGTTTTTATCGTTTCACTTGCAGTTTTTTGTGCTTTAATTGTGTTGAGTTTGAATGTGTTGGTTTTATCATTTCAGCTGTAAATGTAAAATTTTGTTTGCTGTAGTCGTTGTTTCAATTGTAGTATTTTTTCATTTACTGCAGTTTTGTCCTAATCATGTAGCTGTAAGTTCTGGTATCTATTGAGTTCAATTTCTTGATGTTTTTTCCTTGTGTAGACGATAGTTTTATTTTTTTAATTGTGTCTTTTGTGACTATAGATTTGTGTGTCTTTATTGAGCTGACTGTAGTTTTTGTTTTTGTCTTCAGTTGGCTAAAGACATGTCGGCAGCTGCTGTTCGAGCCATTAGGAGGGAAATCAAAGAACTGTACATTAACATTCAGCCATTTCAGGAGAAAGAAAAATCCTATGGAAGCGGGAATGGCATAATGTAAGCATAATAGCAGAATTGCTATGATTCAACATGAAGTATGTTGAATTGCATCTGAGTGACATTTAGCAAAAACTGTAAAAGTATGAAACACTTCAATAACGTTTTTTTTAACGTACTTTTAATTGGACACTGATCAAAACATTATAGTTTTCCAGGTGTCGTTTTAACTGGGGAGTGTCCACCATGTAGTGAAACAGCATTATTATTATTATTTTTTTTTTACTGTTATTAATGATATGTGTCATCAGCAGCTCTTTGATTGATCTTTCTCCTGTCGGTGTTTCAGAATCATTGCAGAGTCATCAACAGGTTGCCTGTTTGCTGGTTCAGCTCTGGGAAAGAAAGGTGGGGCAGTCACTTGAACTAGCAAGTTGAAATGTTGTACTAAACAGTGATACACAACAAGCCACTGAAACTTAACGCTGACACAAAGACAAACCCATTATCATGAAATTTAAGTAAAAAGGCATTTACATTTTTTTTTTTTTTGTTCTATCACATGGTCCACTTGTAGAAAATGTCTTTGGATTGATTTCTAAGTGGACCAATCATGTTCTGTAGAACTGCACTGACAGGTCTAACAAGACTGTGATTCACAGTGCAGATGACCAAGTAACCTAATACCATCAACACTCTCTGTGTGTGTTTCAGGTGTGTATGCAGATAAAATTGGTATTGAAGCTGCCGAGATGTTACTGAGAAACATCAGACACAATGGCTGCGTGGATGAATTCCTTCAGGACCAGGTGAGAGACACACCTGCTGACACACACCTGCTGATCTCACTGTGGCCTCACTGACTTCCCTCTGATCTTGTATCCCTCCTCAGCTCATTATCTTCATGGCGCTGGCAAAGGGGACGTCTCGGATTCGAACTGGTGCTGTGACACTGCACACGCAGACGGCCATTCACATTGCAGAGCAGCTGACTCAGGTCAGGAGCAACTCACAGCATATACACAGTACACACATAGTATAACTTTTTCCATTAAATACATGTGTACATAAAACTTCAGGCCCTCTATAGTTTTTTTTTTTTTTTGTCCAGGTAAACCTTTTGGAGAGGAAAATGTGTTTTCAGAGATTGAATTGTGGTTTTTGTGCTGAAAATGGGATTTGATTTAAAAATCAGATTTTATTATGTAAGACTTATATATGCTTTTGTTTGGTTCTTGAATATTCGTGTTGTACTGTAGTGAAGCAGTCTGCATAGCCACTGATGTATTATAAGTATAATTGTGTTTCTTGTTTTGTTTTTTTGCAGGCAAAATTCACAATAACAAAGTGTGAGGATGAGCTGAGCAGCAATGTCACCTACATCATCGAATGTCAAGGATCAGGAGCAGCTAACCCCAACCTGTAGCTGAAGACACACACACACACACACACTCACACACACACACACACACACACTTGCACGCACGCACACACACAGAGTCTGTCTCCCTACTGGACTTGGTAGCTGCTCCTGACATGGCTGACCCTCTAAGCTCGTCTCTCTCAGGGTTTTTCCTTAAATACTGTAATAAATAAGTAAAACTCTTGCCACACCTAAGTGATTGCTTCAGTTGTTTTCCATGTACACTTAAGTGTCCTTGTTTGTTATTTGAGTTTGACTTTATGTCAAATTTATTAAGTCAACAGATTAAGACATTTTCTTCTGTTTTGACACCTTTGTCAAAGGCCAGTTTCAGATTTTCAGATTGTAGAAATGTAATCAAAACTTTCACTTTGACTTTTTGAGTCCAAATTCTGACTTTTTTTTGGTAACACTAGCTCTTTAATGTTACTGTTTAAATCAAAATACAGACTTTTCAGGTCAAAATCTGGACATACTAAGGACTGCCTCTAGGTTAGATTATGAGTTTCTGGGTCAAAATTGTTATTTTTAGAAGCTTACTAGTTAGTCAAAATACAGCTTTTTAGATGAGTGACGAAAGTCTGAGTGACTTTAGGTTGAAAATTACTTTGAGTCTAAATTATGAGGTACTAAGTCAAGATTTTAGCATTTGTGGTCATGATCATGACATGCATTCTTTTCAGTGAATGAAAAAGGTGACTTTTAGATCAACATTCTGAGATATCAAACTGGCCCTGAGCAGTTCTTTCACAACTTCCACCTCCATCTTAACATCAGTAAAACCAAATGCATCATTTTTGACTGAAGGAATGTTGTATCCAGCCCACCCCCACCCTCCACGATCAGCTGTACACATGGCTCGTCTGTGGGGTACAGCCAATCCTATAAATATCTAGGCTTCTGACTGGATTTATGTCTGTCGTTCACCACACACATTAACAACCTTCAGACTAAACTCAAAACCAGACTGGCCTTCCTCTTCCGCAACAAAGCCTCCTTCACTCATGCTGTAAACACACCTTTGTAATGATAACAATACTCCCAAATCTGGATTGTGGCGACATCATTTACAATATGGCCCCAAGTATTGTGCTCAAAAACTGGACACTCTTTATTACTCAGCCATTCTCTTTGCCATTCATGCACCCTTCCACACTCACCACTGTGATCTCTATAAATTGGTGAGGTGGCCCTCCCTTCATACTCAGCGCCTTCATCACTGGTTTCATTTCATTTACAAGTCAGTTCTGGCCAAGACACCTCCCTAGCTGTCCTCTCTTCGTCGCGTTGCCTATAATTCTTATCGTACTAGATCCATTGAGTACATAAAGCTCATTTTCCCCAATACTTCTACTATTTTTGGCTGTAACTCATTTCACTTTGCAGCAGCTAACAACTGGAGCACCTTGCAAAACATCCTTAAACTTGCAACTTTGACTCCACTCACCACCTTCAAGCTTAAAATCCAATAGACTGTAGCTGACTGTTGCTCCTGCTGATCACGTAGGACTTTATTTACATACTTATATATACACACACAATTTCTTACATCTCATGCACATCTTATTTTCACACACATGCATATGCTCCCATGCTTTGTACTTGTTTACTTTTGTTCTGTTATCTTCATGTGTCTATTTGTGTCTGTAATTTACATGTGTATTTGTTCCTGCTGGTGCCTCTTGGCAAGGTCATGTTTGCAAATGAGAACTGGTTCTCAAACATTTTTACTTGGTAAAATAAAGGTAAAATAAATAAATAAATATTAAGTCAAAACCAAGACTTTAAAAGCAATTTTATTACTTAAGGTTGAAATTCTGACATTTAAGTCAAGTTCTGATACTAGATCATGGTCATGACTTTCAATACTAGAAATAACTTTTGTTCATCAAGATAAGATGGACACTGATTAATCATAACATGAAACCACCTTCCTAATATTGCATAGGTCCCTCTTGCATTACCAAAATGGCTCTGACCCATCAAGGCCTGGACTCCACAGCCCTCTTAAGGTGTCCTGTATTATCAGGCACACCATGACATAAGCAGCAGATCCTTTAAGTTCTGGAAATTGCAAAGTGGGGCCTCCATGGTTCACGCTTGTTTTTCACACATTAACAGATGTGCCTAATAACGTGTACCGAGTCATTATTTACCGTAGTCTAGTAATGTGTATCTAGTCCTAGATGAAGACAGGAGGGATCTGTGCCTATGTTGTCACAGCACCTAAACGCTGGATTTAGGTGCTGAAACTCACCAAGTCATTATCTCACAAGTTTTTCTTGCTTAGCCTGTCAGTAATTTTATTGTGTTTCATATGCATGACAACTTGTTACTATTTATTTTTATTTTTTTTTAAATCAATATCTTAAATTATCTTCTTTACTGACTTATTTGATTACTTTTATTTTAACTCTGTTTTATTTATTATTATTTATAATACAAACTCATGATTACTACAGCAGAGTTTCTATTGTTATTAAGCTAGTTGGATACAGCAAGCCCTTTTTTGAATATTTGAAACTTTTTCTAAGTTGGACAGTCACATATATAGCAAAAGAGTAGAGGAGCTAAACTTAGAGACAAAAGGACAAAACTCAAGAATTCAGTTGTAGAGTGACAGTTGTCTGCATGAGCTTGGGAGTGTAGCCTACAATTTCATAGCATGATGAAACAGGATGGCATTGATTGACATCATCTGATTCAAATGAATGTCTTTCATATGATTAATAAATGATGCTACAGTCTGTAAAACATTTTTTTCCATTTTTATAAACCCTTTGAGGCAATTTATTGACAAGTGATTCTGGGTTATTTAAATATATATATATATAGACTCGTATTTATGAAGCCTTTTTTTTTTTTTAAATCAGAATTTAATATGTACAAAATTTCATCAAAAAAACACACAACAACCACAAACACTCCGGTGAACAGTAAAACTTTCATCTTCAGTGAGGGCTCTTATTGTTGCAGCTTATCCAGAAACTCCTGTATTTCTCCACACATTCGATTTCTGTTTTTTTCTCTAATCTTTTCTAGATATCTAATGCTGTTGTCACGGTAGGGAGATTGTTGAGGTATAGCGGCTGCCTTCATGTGAAATTCTATCGACTTGTGGATCTCTTTTCGATTGAAATGTAAATATTTTGCATAGTAGTTGTAAAGCCTTTGTGCCTCTTCAGGATCCAGATCACTTTGTAGCAGTTCCTCATATATCTGGTCTGCTGCAGCTTGGGTGGTATTTGACTGAGCATATATGTTTGCAAGAGTTATTTGCATTTTAAATGAAGAATGGGGATAAAGAAAAATCACTTCCTTGCAGAGACTGATGGCTCTGTTGATCATGCTGTGCTCCAGAGGGTTGTCCTTCTGAGACAAGATCCTCCATTTGTAGCATGTTGCAGCACATCTCTTCAGATAACGTTCATCCGGATGTCTTTCCAGTGCCTCCTCTGCCAAATCAACAGCTTCATCCATGGATAAATATCTTCTGTACAGCCTTAGTAGGGGTTCGATACCACTGTAGCTGCTGACTGCCTTTCTTAAAACCCTCCTAGCCAGCTCACGTGCTTCATATTCAATGTTTATTCCCTTGTCAGCACAGGCCTCAAGGTAAAGGGCAGCAAGGTACAAGTTGGCCTGATCCTGTTCTTTGGTAAGTTTAACTTTCTCCATGATGTCAGCCCCAAGGTTTTTGTTCTGGTGATTACAGGAATTCACTAATGCTATGACATGGCTGGTCTGCCACTCCACCATGCCCGGCTGCATTCTAATGGCTCTCTGGAAGTAATCTGCAGCCAGCAGGTTGTTGTCTTTGCCAAACTTCATCAGGGTCCATGCTTTTTCAGCATATATCTCTGGATGGAGCTCATCAGGAGATGGCGATGCGTATTCATTTATCAGGGCATCAACCTTTGATATGTAACCCTGACTCTGTGCCTGTTCTCCCAAGTGGTGGTGCAGCCAAGCCAGGTTCCCATAGCTCACCACCAACCACTGACCTTCATCTGAGACCGTGTTTCTTATCTGGCGGAAGGCCTCTGTGGCCCTGCAGAAGAAACAACGGGCATCTTTGAGGAAGCCCAACCGGCAGTGGATGAATCCCTGCAGGTTGTAAATATAACCCAGCCAACTGTATCCCTCCTGGGTGCCAATGTCCTCCAGATTGTCCCTGACACAGAGAAGTTTCGACCTGCTGGGGTCCAGGTCCCAGGTGAAGTGACACTGCAGAGCCTGTAGTTTGGATTCCAGTGTTGACTGACTCTGAGTAGCACTAATGAAAAATTAATATGGATTATTTTAAATTAGGTATATACCAAACAATATTATGATATGCTCTGTGGTGTATTTTGTTTGGATAATTACTGTTCAACTCATGAAAGGAAGAAAGAAGACAAGAATGGAAGGAAGACATAAAAGGAAAGGAACGAAGGAAGGAGAGGAGGACAGACAAGGAAGGGAGAGAAGACAACAAAAGAAGGAAGACAAAGAAATCAAGAAAGGAAGTGAGGAAGAAAGGAACAAAGACAGGAAGGAAGAAAGAAGGATAAGGAGAGAGATAGTGGAAAGAGAAAGGAAAAAATAAGGAAAAATAAAAATGGGACGAGAAAGGAAAAAAAGAAGGAAATAAGGAGTAAGTAAAATAATGTAACAAAAAAGGTAATTATAAAGGAAAAGAACTGATCACTCAATCAGATTTTTTTCATGTAACACACAGAACACAAGCATTTACAGAACTAAATGAATAAAAAACAAACAAACCCAACAATCCCCCCCATGAACACTATGTCGTAAGTGAAGGTATCAATGAAACATGCACTGAGGAAACACAATAATAAATACTATTAAGGAAAAGCAGAGGCAGGAAAAGGCAATAATTCAGCAGAATAACACAATGATAGAAAAGAGAGGTTAACAGATACAATAGATGAAAAAGAACTCCTTTTCAAAAAGATACAGAAGTAGTGAAATGTTGGAAGAACTGAAGAAAAGGGACTGAAAAAGGAAATAAAAAGTCTAGACAAGAAAGAAAAGTGACAGGAAACAGAAGAGGACACAGGAAGGGAAGAAAGAAATAACGGTAAGTCACAAAAATATAAAGGAGGAATGGAGGAAAGATGTTCAGATATACAATATTTTAAAGAAGCAACTACTCACCTCATCATGCAGCTGCTGCCTGGACTCAGTGGCTTGCCTAACAGCGCTGGTTTCTTTTCTTTGTGGCTTCTATTGTAGGTGCAGCGCCATAAAAGTCAGTAATGTTCAACTTCTACTGTTGTAAATGATGTGATATTGAACACCAGGTTTGGACTCTGAGGACTGTTCCAGGAACAGAAATATACAGTCACATGTTTGTTACTCTGAAAAGGCTCCACTTGTCATTACTAAACTGATTTACAGTATGTTCTGATTCTGAACAGAGACACTGTTCAGTAAATTTGCAGAAATAATGGATCCTTTAAAAACAAACATCAAAATAAACATAGTTATGCTCAAATAATGTTTCTAATTTTAAAAGCAAAATGAACAGCTGTGTTTTATTGTTTACTGTGGCACAATCATCTACTGCTTTCTTTCTCTTATCTGTAACAAACCCTTTATACCACAGTTTTTATCTGTAGTCAAGAAAATGAAAAATGACTGCACACTTAATCTTTTTAATCTTTTAGCTGGGGTAGAATATAACAAGCCTTTCTAGATCAAAAGGCTAAAGTCATACGTGTTGAAGTCAAAGTCTTTTTCAGAATAAACACCATGCTGAGATGGGATCATACCAGCCATTATGCTTGTCAATCTATCCTCAAACCTTACTTTTGATCTCAGCTGCAAACCTGTAAAGCTTCTTGACTCCATTTTTGATTGTATGGCCCACACATCATGTCGACATTCTGTCATGATGAAACACACACACACAGAAAGTGGAAATATCAGCAATAACAGCAGTTGCTAATTATGTCATGTCCGAAGTCTACCACTCTGTCTTGTAGCGTGATAAGCAGACTGTAGCATGTCAAAGGTTTGACCCAACCTTAACCTAACAGTGAGTGGGCCCAAAACAGGGCTTTGCATTTCAGTTCTAACACAGACATGGAATTTCAAGCAGCACTCACAAGGAAGAGCAGTTGAACACCTGATGACTGCCACTGTACATGTTAAGCATCTACAGCAAGTTATTATTTTCAAAAAATAGCAAAAATGATTTTGTAAAGAATTAGCTTTCTGTGACAGCAACTATTTTTTAGTTTTTGGTCACATGATAAATAGTAAGTAGAATATCTTAACATGAACGTTGGGGTATCATAAAGGACCTATCCCAGCTGACATAGGGTGAAGGCAGGGGACACCCTGGACAGGTCACCAGTCTATCACAGGGCCTCACAGAGAGACAGACAACCAAGCACACTCACATTCACACCTATATGGACAATTTAGAATCACCAATTAACCTCAACATGTGGGAGGAAGCCACAGAACCCAAGAGAGCCCACGCTGGATGGGGAGAACATGCAAACTCCACCTCACCGGGATGCGAACCGGCGACCTTCTAACTTTGAGGCAACAGTGCTAACTATCGAGCCACCTTGAAGGCCTGATAATGACATCCATCCATCCATTTTCTATACACCGCTTAATCCTCATTAGGGTCGCGGGGGGGCTGGAGCCCATCCCAGCTGACTCAGGGCGAAGGCAGGGGACACCCTGGACAGGTCGCCAGTCTATCACAGGGCCACACTTAGAGACAGACAACCAAGCACACTCACAGTCACACCTAC